CCCCTTGAGTGTGGCTCTTCCACCAAATACCGACTTCTGCGCATGGGCCACAAAGTTTCAATCGCACTATACATGCGCGCCCGCATGTGGTATTTTGTGGAAGAGCCACACTCAAGGGGCCAACGAGCCGCATGTGGCTCGCGAGCTGCAGTTTGCCGACCACTGCATTAGGAAAATAGAACAGGTTCCCGAAACCCCACAGAACTTTCTCAACTCAGTTTGAAACTGCCTAAAACAAAGTTTTTAGAGAAAATGAGCCCTAGTCGGTTTGGCTCAGAGGATAGAGCATCAGCATGGGGACTGAAGGGTCATGGGTTTGATTACGGGTCAAGGGCATGGCCCATATCGGGGTGCATTTGGGAGGTAACCAATCGATGTGTCTCTTTCACATCAATGCTTTTCTCTCTGTCTCTCCCCCTCCCTTCCACTCTCACTAAAAATCAATGGAAAAATATCCTTGAGTGAGGATTAACAAAACAAAAAAAAGAAAGAAAATGAGCTCTTTCTTTTTCATTCTTCTCCAGTGACTAATAGTTTCCTTGAAAGTAGGAAACTGCTAAAAAAAAAAAACAAAAAACAAAAAAACAAAAACCTTTCAGTAACTGCTGGCAATTTTGACAGGCCTTGAAACTATGAGAAATAAATAATCTTTGTCAGAGATGTTCAGATTCAGCCACTCTCAGTCAACCTTAGAGAGGCAGGAATAAAATAGGTGTCACACTTCTTTCTGTCAGATGTTAGTGTCCCTCCGGGAGGAGCTGTGTAAAAAGCTGAACATTCCTACTGACCAGGTTGAGCTGAGCATGGGCATGTCCGTGGACTTCCAACATGCAGTAAGTGTCCTTCCGGGTACCATTTGATGGGAGGGTCAAACGGCCACAGCAAGCATCAGGTTTTGCTGGAGAAACCTTTGAAATGCCTCATTGTAGCAATAGGGCATCCAATAGCAGTGATTCTCAACTATTCTAATATTCCCCACCCCCTTCTTTTCCTAAATGAAAGGTATGGAAATTATAGCCTGACACATAATTTTAAATGCAGTATAATTCCCTACATGGCATCTAAAGGAAAATAAGAAGAAATTAAACTCTATTTTTTTTAAAGGCATTTATTTCACTATGTAAATGTTTGGACATATGACAGTAAGTCTGATGCTTAATCTTATGTGTAAATTCACCATTAATGCAACAACTATAAAAATATACTTATATAGATGTGCTGTGTTGGCAACTCAAATACATGGTTTTCTGGAACAGTAAATAACTTGATAAAGTTCTAGAAGTCAAAGTATAGACTTCCCTCTGTGTAGACAGTAGCTGCATTGCTGGAAAATTGTATATATTAAAACAGTACAAAAATGCTTTGTGTTTACTAGTATAAGTAAAATGGAATTAGATCCTGTGCTGAGACAACGATAAGGAGGTTTTTTCATCACCTGACCAGGGAACAGTAGAAAGGTGTGTGGGCTGCAAGACAACTCCTCACTGTGCTGCTGTGTCCCACACACAGCGGGACGTGTGAAAGCCATTTCTCAAACACCCCTCCGAGGTCATGTTGCCCCAAGGAGAACCACTGCCGGTCGTCCTCCTAGGCTGCGTTATCATTCTTCCTCATAGAGGCCCCTCAAAAGACAGAATGAGAGGCACTGCTTCAGCATTGGCTGCAGTTCCTTATTTTAAACTCAGCCCTTGATACTTGCTCTTCTTTCCCACAGATTGAAGTAGGATCTACGAATGTCCGCATAGGAAGCACCATTTTTGGAGAGCGAGATTACTCAAAGAAACCTGCCCTGGACAAGTCCGCAGCAGACCTAAAAGCCCCCGTGGAGGTGACACAGGAGCATTGAGCCACAGAACAACCAGCAGTGGCTTGCCGCCCGTGGGCCCTGTCTAGGAAGACTAACTATGCACTCACCCGAATCTTCATTTTGATATTCCCCTGTTTACAGCACAACCATGCTCTCCTTGTGACCTGGTGAGAGCACGCTGAGGATCATTTGTATTGATGGAAACCATCTGTATTCCGTGTCTGACGTAGGAAGCTTGCTTCGTGTAATGGCTTTGGATTGGATTTGAGAAATCCTGACATTTCTGCAGAACAGATACCAAATCAATAGCCAGGAATTGAGTTCAGTATTGAATCCTGCCCAGGAGCACCAGTCAACCCATGAATGCCTTTCCCAACTTAAAATTTGGTCACTGATGCCTGTAATGACAGATGCCAGAGTCTGAGGAATTCCCATTTGTCATCCACTTTAATAGAAAACTCCCTGTGATTACCAACTTCATACAGACCCTCGCTGAGTAATCATCTTCACTGTTCTGCAGCAAGGTGATTGTGCCTACCTTACCCAACCCCCCATTTCCACCCCGCCCAATAAATATTTGTTTCTACTCTGGACTAGCAGTACAGGTAACTTCAGGAAATGGCTCAAGTTAATGCTCCGAACCCCAGTGGTTGTTGATGAGAATTGGTGTCATTGGTCACCCTGTAGTGTTGACCCTGAAAAGTATAAGGGGTAACGGAAATGGGACTTCAGCCTTTTTAACATCTTCCTGAAGAGACAGGACTTTGAGTTTTTTCTCTGGGCCCTACAGTGATGAGAAGTTAATGATATGATTTCTCGTCCACCATAATTCTCTTTAAGTTGATTTCTTATCAAGGACCGGTGAATCGTGTAGCTCCCCAGAAATGAAAGATTCCTTCAAAGCCAGTTCATGTTGACAGTATCCACAAAGCCTGACTGTGAGGTTCCTGTTCCTGAGGAGCACTTTCTAGGCACATTTATAGGCCTCCCCCTCCCCCCCCTACTATATTGATAACCCAGAACTGCAGGTCTTCTTGTTTGTTAATAGAGAGCAAGATATTAAGAAACCAGAAAGCACACTTCTCAGATAGTCATGACAGATGACTTTGGTCTTGGTTGTTTATCTCCTAGATGTTTTTTCCTATTTATTCAAGCCCCAATCTTTAATTTTTTGAAATAACTTTCAGAACAGGATGCTGCTGCCGAATGTAATTTTGTAAAACTTCCACCATTATGATCCCTGCACTGTTTCAGTCAGCAGTAGAATGTGATATTTCAGAGTCTATTAAATAAAAATGTGAGTTTGAATTATGCCATCTGTGCCAATTACAAAGCAATTAAAAGCTTTATTTTTTATGATCTGGTGTAGTGAGTGAATATAATAGGAGGGGGGCATTGGAACAGACAGGATGCAGCTGTGCCTGTCACTGGCATCATACCAGCTGGCTTTTGAGAAGGGTTTCCCTTGGGTCACAGATGCAGCCACACCATGGGTGAAAGAGGGCTTCTGAACTTTCAAGGGCAAGAAAATGAAATGGCATTTCAGCAATTACAAAATAGAGGTTACCTACCTCTTGCTGCAAGAATCTTTTAAATTGCCTCTAGATGGCGACATTGGCTAACATGCTGGGCAAGCACTGGCGCTCCACTGTCAGCAAATTACCTTCCAATAGACTCACAGTCTCATACCTTCTTTACAGACAGACATGGAGGCCAAAGAGGATACAATTTTCCTAAGTGATAGGGCTGACTCTAGCAGCGCCACCAGGTTCTTTCAGATGACCTCCTTTGCTAACTCAGCGGAGAGTCCTGACGGTGGCTGTGGAATCCTTTGGGAAAGGTAAAATGGTCTGAGCAAAAAGAGCTCTCTGGCTTGTACCTAGAGATGGAGAACAACAGTGGTGAGCCATGGGAGGCGGGAAAGGAAAGGAAAACAAAGTAAGCCTCTCCTGTGTATCCACAGCAGGCCAAAACCTTTGCAGAGAGAAAATTGAGCAAACTTGTGCTTTGTCTTTTGTACACATGCCGGGCAGCAGGTCTGCAAACTAGATGTTCATCAATGCAGTGACAGCACCCTCAGCAAATTTCCTGAGTTACAGCAGCATGCTGTTGTGGGTCAGACCCACCCATGCAGCTCCGCAGTCTCTTACTTGGGAGTGCTGTCCGCAGCCTGCGTCCTCACCTGCCTGGCCCCAGTCTCAGGTTTGCATGCTCCAAGGCTCCCAATAGTCCATCAAGGCTTTGTGCTCAGGAAGTGCCTCATGGATTCTGACTATGGCATTTTTTTAACAAAGCAGCCCCTTAGTACTCAAATTGTTCCACGCCTTTTAAAACATTCATGGCACATAAAGCACTATCCCATATATTCTCTCATTTTTCCCTCACAGCAGTTGGTAGGGGAATTTAGGCTATTTGCCAGCATCTGTTTGTGGATTGGGCAATTGTCTGAAATCAGAGCAGGTTGGGAACAGGGCAAGAAATAAACTCAAGATGATTCCTGGACCAGAGCATGGCCATTACACCACACTGGCATCTTCTGTTGTCACAGGCTTTAACAATTGGTAAGAGGCATATTCTTAGATTTACAGGCTTAATTTAAGAGACACTTATTACCATAAAAGAAATGTATGTTTTTAGTCTGTTGTAATTGTTGAGAACTGACACGTCTTAATGCAAAACAAACTTTGAAACCACAAGCAGTGAGGATGAGAAAGGAGAAAATCGAACCCAGCCTGAATGGAGTTAGCCTCCCCTTCTGTCATCTCATTTCCCTAACACCAACATTCCTCCCCCAAACTCAAACTATTCCACAGGCTTTGAGGCTCCAAGGATACAGCACTGTGCCCTTCAACCCCTAGATCTAAGCCAGCAGTAAATTCTGTTCTCCAAGGCTGGACAAGGAGGACTGAGGTCAAAAGGGACTTTCTTAAAATCCAAGACATCTCTGCCCTTCCAAAAAAAAGTGGCCCCATGCTTCCCACCAACGCTCTGAAAGAGGAAGGGCTCACCCACCAGTTCCTGAAGGGCCGCGATAAGTAAGGGTGGATGTCGTTATGGTGCAACTGGAAATGATTTGCTCTGGGAACTGTGACTGTCTTTACCATGAAATCAGTTGCCTGCTATTACATCAGCCTCATGACTAACGGCAAAAGAATCCAAACCATCCACCAAGATGTTTTACTAATCTGCCCCCTCCCCTCAAAAGGCACACAGGTAAAGAAAGGAGCTGCTTTCCCACCCAGTTTGCGTGGACAGGCCTACTCCATGGCTGGCTGTGGTTACGTAGCTATTTACAAGGTAGGGACCCTTATTAAGTTTCTCTCTATAATCACTTCAAAGTCCCAGAGGACCTCAGAACTAACATTTTTTCCCCTATAAAGTCCAGCAAAGATGAGCTGAAATGGCCTGTGATAGGGGTGCGGGGATGGGGGGGGGGACACTTTTGGCACCTCTCTTGTATTGAAAATAAATTTTATAAGCTCAAGCGCCTGAGCTTTGAGATCACAAAGGAGCAGAAGCCACCCTTGGAGTGCAGGGTGCCTTCTAAACGGTTCCTTCCCACTGGCTGGCTGAGCCTACCGCCCCCACCCCCCAGCCCGCGTGCGCTCCAGCCTAGGGAGCTGTGCTGCTCTGCAGCTTTGGAGCTAAGCTTGACCCAGCTGCCAATCTCCAAAATAAAATCAATGTGTGACCTTATTCACCAGCTGTACCGAAGAAACTAGCACAAATGAGGGCCAACTTTGAAGCCAAAAAGGGAAGATGAGATGTTGGGAGAGAGAGAGAAAGAGGGGGAAAAAACTTGGCTGGACATGAAAGGTGTCTTGTCTGTCTGTTCCCCATTAGGCGCAATTCTCTTGCAATCTGCAGCCTCAACATTATTCTCTTGACCAGAAACTCTCCTGAGAGATAGTGTCAGAAGGAAAAACAAACAGAATAGCATCTCTGACAGCAAAGTCACTTAAAAACCTATTTGGGGGGTGCGATGCAGGGAGACATGTCAGCACGTGGGGGAGGGCGCTCCTCCACAGCAGGCCACCTGTGGAGACACATTTACCCTGGGAAGGGACAAGGACAGGACAGGAAGGGGAGCCCGGGAGAGGGCTGCGTGCAAGGCCAAGGCCAGCCCCAGGAAGCAAACTCGCAGTCTTCTGCCCTCCCAGCCCCTCTGATGCCTCCAGGTCCACCTGGGTGCCTTTCTCTACTGTGCACTCAACACACAAATCCACAGTACTGGGCTTCTTTGGGCCCCGTGATGCACTGAGAGGATCCAGAGGATTGCTATAGAAAAAAGTGGTCTCCATTTGTCGTAACGTCACTTTCCCATTTCTGACTGCCACCAGCAGCCTTAGAACCCAGCTCTCTCCCTGTCAGCTGGCAGCCGCAGCCGGCTCCCCAGGCAGCAAAGGCCCATTCTCCCCAAGCCCCTTTGACCTGCCTTTGAGCTAAGCCGGCTACTCGGGAAGCCAGGCCCCACCCTCTCCGGCAGGAGCTCAGGGGGTGAGGATTCTGGAGTGAGGGGTGCAGGGCGGGAGAGGGCACCATTCTGTGCTCAGGTTTCTGGGGCAGACATCCTGTTATAGGAGAGAACTTTTTTAAAGGAAGAAAAACTAATCAGAAGAAAGAAGCAAGAGCCTTTCCCTGCCTTTCGGACTTGTTTATTACTAGGATATCTGATTTCAGCAGAGGAAGCCGGCATTGAAGCAAGGTTTTTATTGGCCGTGAGCAAGAGGAATTCAGGGTTTGCCTTTGATTTGGCTTCCCCAGAACATGAGGCGCTGAAGAGTGCTCACTGCTTTGATGGAGCAGCTCAGGACTTTGCAGGGTGCCCCCCCCCCCCGAACTCCCTGTTTTCTGAAGCACCCACTAAAATTCTTTTCAGGAGATGAGGGTGGAGAAGGGGCCCCAGAGTGGAAGGCGGCCTCATAAACATTGCAGAGAGGAGAGCAAAATAGGGGACAAAGGTAAAAAGTTCTGAAATTGGCTCCAGGGGAGCACAAGTCAGGCCATGCTGGCCGCCCCCCTTCCCCGAGTGGGGATCTGGAGGAGGGAAGGTCTGGTTTGGATGAAAGCACAGTGTCTCTAGCAGACAGAGCGAGGCAGGCTGCAGTCAGGCCCGGCCTGATGGTTTCAATGTGTGAGGAAGATAAAGGCAGAGATCTGCAGAGGCAGCCTCTGCCAACAGCACTCCTCGCTGGGGCCTGGGCTGAGGCTGGCCTCTGGGGAGGCGGGATTACCAGCTGGGCCACAGGCTTGAGGAGCTGCGGCTGATCCTCAGGGCTCCCCACAGACACCTTCACGCTCAGGCAGCCGCTGTTTGGGGTCTGGAGCCCCAGCCAGCCTGATCTTACCTAGTCCTGGGTAGCCTTCCTGCGGCCTGCTGGCTTCCAAAGAGGGGCATCTATGTGACTGGAGAAAGAGGGAGGGTGTCCCTCCATTTGGGGGCTCTGGGTGAGCCCAGCAATCTCCCTTTCTCCAGTTTTCCCTCCGGAAGAACCTAGGAGCTGAGATCTCTCAGTATCCTATGCTTTGCCTAGTATGTACCCATTGAGGGTAGGAGTCAGCTGCCAAGGGTGCCTGCACTGACTGAAGAGGCAGCCCCTCTGGCGGAAGATGATTCTGCCTGGGTATGGCTCTCTTCCTTGTCCAGGTTTGTGCCCAGAGGATGAAAGTCACCCTTTCCCTCTCTGGGAGTGTAAGTCTTCACAGGCCTCTGTATGTGTCTCTGTGACCCGTCACGGGCGGGCATCTCGCAGACAGAGTGTGCGCCTGGGCTGTGGTGCTGGCTGTCCGTAGCAGGGCTCTGCTCACCTGGGAGGCCCAGGCCCACTTTGGCAGCCACTGTGCCGCTTGGCGCTCTGAGCTGAGGCCCAGAGCCTGGGGCAGGGGGTGGGGAATGGGGAAACAGGGCTCCCACTGTGTCCACGTCAAGGAAGCCAGGCATCAAAAGGACTTTATGCAGTAAGTTTGGGAGCATACACGGAGAAGAGCTGCAGGAGTGAAAGTAGATGGACACACACACACACACACACACACACACACACACACACACAGTGCTTGCTCCAAGACTCTGGCACCAGTCTGTCTGGGTTTGGATCCCAAATCTGTTCCTTACCAATCAAATTACCTTGGGCCAAAGACTTTACCCTCTTGGTGCCTCAGTTTCCTCATCTGTAAACAGGGGTGATATTAAGAGCAACTGCCCCACGTATTGATGTGAATTTTAAATGTGATAAAGCGTGGAAAGTGCTGTGCACAGAACCTGGCACGTGGCGGAAAGCTCAGCAAAGGTTAGGGACCGCAGGCTGGACCAGCCCGGTTGGGCTTCACAGCCCGAATCTCCATGGAGAAACAGGGCGG